GGGTCTTATGCATAAATCAACAAAAAGGACATTTGCGTATTCGAAGTGAGACAATATACCACTTTGGAATCATTTTAACCTTCTTTTAAAAATGAAATTCTAAATTAAAATATGCCAGTTGGTGAACATTTCCGTTGTGCTAAAAATAGAAGAAAGGAAAAATAATTCACAATTGGTTATGAAGTCACTATGAAAACCTTCTCATAGTGACTCCTACATGGAATTAACCTACTAATTACAATCATTAGATTCGCACGAATTCAACTAATCAACCTTAAGAAATATGAAATAACGATTTGAATGTTTACTACCTAAGAGTAAAGTAATTAAAATGCAGTAATTTATAACTAATAGAGGAAATGTCGTGGACAAGATTTGAAAAAGTCTAGGGTTATGATTTTCTCTATTATCGAAATCCTCCCCGCTACATTCTCTATAAATTCGCCTAAGTATTCTCTACCGATCGTGAGTACTTTGGGTGTTGTAATTCTCTTCCGAGTAACAACCACAATTTACTAAGCGTATTCTTCCGAACTATGCAAGCTGGCTCTAGTTTACTACTTACTAAGATCGCACCAAAGTTTTTTTATTCCTAATCTCACCTTTAAACCCTTCGTATTAATTCCTCATATATGTTAGGAATAGTGTTGATCAACAACTACCTAAATGTGTACCCCTTTTCAAGCAATACACATTAAATAGACACAATCAATTAAGGGTCCTTCAATCAACCATAATAATCATATAGTTGAACAAGTAGAGAAAACTAAATGGCCAATTCATATTAAACGTAGTAAAAAATCATCCTCCAATAGGTTCCATCAAACCTTAGTTAAAAGGTTTATCTACTCATAATCATACCAACAATCATGATAATAATTGAAAGCATTAAAATAAAGATTAAGAACAGAAGAGAAAAACTCTTGCGGTTCGTTGCTTCTAAGTGTTCCCGTAGCCTTTTTCATCTCCAATAATGTCTTTAGAAACTCTTTTATACATGTTGGGGGCGTGTGCGGTCGAAGCTACCAAGTCCTAGCCAAAATAGGACGAAATCCGCCTTAGCGTACATGATCAAGTTGGCTTCTAAAAAATTCAAATTGAGGTAAAATAAACACAGAAAAGAAAAATAAACACACAAGAGGCTCGAGGTCGTCCCCACCTAATAAAAAAAATAAAAAATAAAAACAAAAATAAAATACTACGACTTCTACTTTCGGCATTCAATTACATGATACTACGGGGCATAACCTATATACAAAGTCTACGAGGCATTCCCCGGATGAATAAACCTAGAGGGCGACCTCTCACCTCATATAAAAGAAAAGAAAAGAGAAATCCTAAAGTTTGCCTACCCGAATGTGGTCGGCCTAAAACAGGCTACCAGCGGTAAAAAAATAACGAAAACTAAATAAAAGAAAGTTTCATTTCATACTCATGTTCTTTTCAACTCTTATTTCATACATTTAGACCGAGTCCAATTCGAAAACATGCAAGGCAAGGTGAAATTACTACGGACTCCATCTTCCCCCTTCCCATATACCCGTCACGTTCCACAATCATATGACTGCGATCAAGCAAGTCAAATATCCAAACAAACAAAGCATGGCAAATTGATTAAGTAATAAACTAAACAAAGCATCCACAGTACACGAGATATGCAAATAAGGAAAAACGACAAAAGAAACAATTATTAAATAAGACAAGACGAAAAGAAGTGAATTAAAACATGGTAAGAGCCGTTTAAGATCTCTTTGAATCCATCCCTTTCCCAATTCCCAAGCTACATATAAGGAAAAGAAGAGAACACAAATACCAAATTTTCACATAAATTCCAGTCAATTGGAGCTGCAGTAGGGAAGGTATACCAAAGAGTTAGCAAATTAAACACCATAACAGACCTATGGAACCATGAAAGAGATAAGCCAGAGATAACTTCAAAACTACAAGACTGATCAACACTCACTATCACGTCCCGAGACTCTTGGATCTGCACACAAGGTGCAGAGAGTAATGTGAGTACGCCAACTCAATAAGTAATAAAAGTAAAAGCAGTCGAACAGTAAGAAAACATGTAATTTCATGTCATAACACTACAACAAAATAGTATATGTCCAAAACAAATACAGTAATTCAATAAACTCCTAAAAAAATTCAATTCAATAAAACCCTTTTAAAACACCTTTCCATAGTTTCAAACGAGTGAGGAAAACAATGAGTAAAAGGATAGAAATGTAAATAGCCCTTCGGGCAAAACATGTACCACAACCGCCCCTCGGGCAAAATATCAACAGAAGTAGCCCCTCAGGCTACCTCACAATCACTCGTAATCAGCCCCTCGGGCAACAACATGAAACAACAACAGCCCCTCAGGCAATATCACATCTCTCACACTGGGTACCCGTACTCACTGGGGGTGTTCAGACTCCGAAGGGGCTCCTACAACCCAAGTGCTATCACAAGCCATCTCGTGGCATAACAAATCAGGCTCTCGGCCTCTCATATATCACAACTCAGTACACATGCTGCGGCGCGCAACCCGATCCCATGATGTTATCACAATACAGGCCCTCGACCTCACTCAGTCAGAAATCTCTCAAGCCCTCGGGCAGCAATAAAACATGATGCTCAACCCAAAATATCATTTAAAAATATTAAAACGGAGTAAATACAACTGAGTTATGACATGACTGAGTACAGATATTAAGTCAAAATAGGGAGGAATAGCAATAAAAAGCCCCTAAGGGTCCAAAATAGTTGGCATGAGGCCCAAATATGACATTCAGCCCAAAATATAGTAATATTTTCCAAAACACAATGATATTAAACAGTTTTCAATCAAATACGCGACTTAACAGTCGTACGAGATGGACCAAGTCACAATCCCCAACGGTGCACAACCCCACGCACGTCATCTTGCGTGTGCATTGCCTCGAAGTAGCACCACGATGTGAAATCCGGGGTTTCATACCCTCGGGACAACATTTACAATCATTACTTACCTCAATCCGGTCCAAACTCTAGACCGCAATGCCTTTGCCCCTCGACTCGTCCTCAACTCACATCGAATCTATCCAAAATTAGAATTATAACATTAATATATGCTAAGGGAACGAAACCCATGCGAAAATAATCAAATTACATCAAAAATCCCGAAATTGGCCAAACTCGACCCCCGAGCCCACGTCTCGGATTTCGATAAAAATCACATCACTAAAATCCTTAACCTTTCACGAGTCCATACATACCAAGAACATCAAAATCGGACCTAAAATGGAACCTCAAATCCCCAATTTGCACTCTCCAATTTCAAGCCCTAATGCCCAATTTTAGGCTTTAAATCCCACTAATTTCATGTCCAATTAGTTAGAAATCATCATAGAATCGAGTATTGAGTTTGAAAATCTTACCTCCAAGTGTTTCCCTTCGATTCCCTCTTCAATCCCTCTAAAAAAAGCTTCAAAACCGCTCAACAATGATGGAAAATGGGTTAAAAATCGCGAAGACAACTATTTAAATATTCTGCCCAGGGATTATTTCCTTCTTCGCGAACACGGTAGCTCCCTCGTATTCACGAAGCACAAAATTCTACTGTCCAAAAATTCCTCTTTCGCGAACGCGAGTCCTTCCACGCGAACGCAAAGCTTCAGCTGCCCAGGCCTTCGCGAACACGAAGAACAAACTTCTGGGGCCCAGCTTCTCCACTTTCCTTTTCGCGAACGCATCCAGCTCCTCGTGTTCGCGATCCTTTCACTGGACATACCTTCGCGAACGCGAGCACCCCCTTCGCGAACGCAAAGAGCACTTTTTCTGCAACAAAATACCAGAAATCTGCAACTCTCCAAAACAAGGATTTGGTCCGTTAACCTCTCGAAACTCACCCGAGGCCCTCGGGACATCAACCAAACATGCCAACACATCCCATAACATCATTCAAACTTCTTCGAGCCCTCAAATCACTCAAAACAATACTAAAACACCAAATTAATCTCGGATACAAGTCTAAGAACTTAGAAACTTCAAAATTCCATATTCGATAAAAACGTCTATCAAACCTAGTCCGAATGACCTGAAATTTTGCACACACATCAAAAATGACACAACAGACCTACTACAATTTTTGGAATTTCATTCCAACCCCTATATCAAAATTTTCACTACCAACTGAAAAACTCCAAAATTCCAATTTCGTCATTTCAAGCCTAAATCTACTACGGACCTCCAAATTACATTCCGAACATGCTCCTAAGTACCAAATCACCTAACGAAGTTTCAGAACCATCAGAATTCACATCCGAGACCTTTTTCACATAAGTCAATATCCAACTGACTTTTCCAACTTAAGCTTAGTCAAAAGAGACTTTGTGTCTCATTCCTTTCCAAAACCACTGAACCCGAACCAACTAACCTGATACCACATCATACAGTTGAACAAAACATAAAGAAGCAGAAACGAGGGAAACAGAAAGATAACTCATGAAACAACCGGCCGGATCATTACAAAAAGCCAATAAGATCAAGTACCAGCTCGAACCTGCAACTCCTCAATAGAGTAGCCAGAACTATCGAACCCCTTTTTTTTTACCTCACTTAACCCTCTTTTAAATAAATAAAAAAGATTTTGAAGTTCAAAAGAGTTTTCAAAATTGAAAGTGACAAAACAATTGTTTGAAAGGGATTAACTCAGAGTTTCCACCTGACATTTGATTTCGATGTGTCAGGTCACCGTTTTTTTTTAAAATGACAATTTCCCTTCAAAACACATTTGACTCTTAAACCAGTTTGCACCAGAAATTCAAGGTAAGAGGGTTCATTTGACTCGAGGAGAAAGTGTTAGGCATTCCCAAGTCCCGTAACTAGTACAGTTGCGTACATGATCAAGTTGACTTATAAAATATTCAAATTGAGGTAAAATAAACACAGAAAAGAAAAATAAACACACAAGAGGCTCAAGGTCGTCCCCACCGAATAAAAGAAAAATAAAAAATGAAAATGAAAATAAAATACTACGAGTTCTACTTTCGGCCTCCAATTACATGATACTACGAGGCATACCCCGGATAAAAATATATACAAAATTTACGGGGCATTTCCCGAATGAATAAACCTAGAGGGAGATCTATCACCTCATATAAAAGAAAAGAAAAGGGAAACCCTAAAGTTTGCCTACTCGAGTGTGATCGGCCTAAAACAGGCTACCAACGGTAAAAAAATAACGAAAACTAAATAAAAGAAAGTTTCATTTCATACTCATGTTCTTTTCAACTCTTATTTCATGCATTTATACCGAGTCCAATACTAAAACATGTGAGGCAAGATGAAATTACTACGGACTCCATCTTCCCCCTTCCCATATACCCGTCGCATTCCACAATCATATGACTACGATCAAGCAAAGTCAAATATCCAAACAAACAAAGCATGGCAAATTGATTAAGTAATAAACTAAACAAAGCATCCACAGTACACGAGATAGGCAAATAAGGAAAAACGGCAAAAGAGACAATTATTAAATAAGACAAGACGAAAAGAAGTGAAATAAAACGTGGTAAGAGCCGTTTAAGATCTTTTTGAATCCATCCCTTTCCCAATGACCAAGCTACATACAAGGAAAAGAAGAGAACACAAATACCAAATTTTCACATAAATTCCAGTCAAATGGAGCTGCAACAGGGAAGGTATACCAAAGAGTTAGCAAATTAAACACCATAACAGACCTATGGAACCATGAAGAGATAAGCCAGAGGTAACTTCAAAACTACAGGATGAAATAAACCGACAGCTATACTAGATATATGAAATCTCCAAATTTCGGACATCAGGTTAGTTCGAGATATAAGATTATTCAGCCATATTGCCCAAAATAACATAAAGACAAATATACCTAAAACAACTTGCATACTACCCAGCTAATTAACATTCAAATTTAGAGGAAAATGAGAAAACTAACATGGCTCAATGAAATTGAAAATTAACTAACAGAACCACTTAGGAGGCTACATGAATATCACTTAAATTGCTATTCATGCACCATTAACTATCTAAATCCCCGAGATCTTAAACGGCTCTCGTCAGTTTTATTTCATAATAAGTGAGATTAGAGAAGAGAGATAGAAATGGACCTCGTTGAAGAAAGCTTCTTCGGCATATAAGAATTATGATACCAGCTAGCCTCGGTAATTAATCTCTTCAGAAAACACACACAAAAAAAATAGCAGCGAAATCTTGGCAGGAACCACGAACACGAACTCAGATAGACCTCGACTCATTCACAATCCGTACTCGACACAAAATCCGAAATGAAAATGAATGAAGTAGCATAATTCTTTTTTTGTTTTTTTTCCTGAAAATCTAGTCACCAACTAGTCTTCAAAATGAAGAAACATTTTTTTTTAAAATATATTTTCTCCTTGTTCAGCGAAACAGAAAAGGGAAAGAAAAAAAATGCAAAGAAGAAGGGAATTGCGGCTGCAGCCGCCCTGGTGCTGCTGGAGCAGTTGGGGAAAAAGAAGGGGTGTCCAGTGGGGGTGGAGAGGTTCGTTGGTGGGTCTGATGGCGGAGAAGGTCTCTCTAGGGTTGTTGAGAGTGGCGCCGGGTTCAGCTTTTGAGAGGTGAGAGTGTGATGGTCGTATGGCTGATGGGCGGTAGCATTGGGTCTTAGAGAAGACGACAGAGGCGGCTTGAGGTGGTGGGCGGCGGCTGAGTTTTTGTTTACGGTGGCGTGCTCTTAGGGTATGAAGAAGAAGGAGCCTTAGGGTTTTTTGGGTTGGTCTAGTGTATTATGTGCTGAAGGAGGTTCTCTTCTTTAGGGTTCCTAGGTTTTTTTATTAGGGTAGTTGGGCTGGGATTATGGGCCAAGGTCTGAATTGGGCTAAATTTTGGCCTAATTTATCTTTAAAAGTGATCTTTTAACTCTACTAGACTAAAAATATTAATTTTTAAAATAATAACTATAAAATTGTGAAATCATTCCTAATTAATTAAAATAAACTGCATTATGACATGAAGCTATATATATTGATATTTTCGAAGATCATACTCATAGTCGCTCCAAATCTTCCGTTTTTTCTTCCCTTTGCATGCAAGCTTGCCAAATCACTTCAAATTGACACCATTATTAAGCTCGAGTCACAAATATTTACTCCGAAGTTAACAAGATTGAGATATAATTCAAGGAAAATTACACGCAAAAATATAAACTTTTAGCTTAACATCATATTAGAAATGGTGTGAAAGATGTATAAAATATCCATATTTTAATGGATCATTTAAACAAGTTTATTCCCGGCCACTCAGCCATTATAGTATTTTATATAGCACACTAATCTTGCTTTTGTTTATGAATGGCGTGAAACAGTAATACAATTGCATTGAAAGTTACATGAGGGGAGACATTGGCTTCTTGTTCCATGTCAATGCAGGTTGTTGTAAGTCTCTTCCCGTTCAAAAGTTACTTTTCGGATATATAAATATTAAATCTTAAACATCTTTATCGAAATTTTTAATTTCGCCACTGCTTTGGTCCCATCTAAAAAAAGAAGCCATTCTTCTCTTAGGCTTCTATGTTGGAGGGTACTCTAGATTGACAATTTAGATTTATGGTTTCTTATCTTCTTGTTATATGGTTAGAAGTACATGAAAAAAAATGATTTAATCTGATTGTTTAACCAAAAAATGAAATTTTAGTCAAAGCTAGAATTTAGAAGAACACGGGTTACTGATAATCAAAAGAGTGTATAGAATGAAGTAATTTAGGTAACAAGAGAGTAATCAAGAGAAAAACAAGTAAACCAAAGTTTATATCAATAGTATTTTGTGTCCTTACAATTGATCAGATGTCCCCCTTTTATAGATACCTTGGGGATATACGTTTTGCCCAAATCATAATGAGGCTATTATGAGTAATTAAAAATATTTAATGCTACGTTACATAATCATTATATTTAATACAAATTCTCTAACATATTCCACATTTAATGCCTATTAAATGTCGTATCTGCACTCTTTTTTATTGTCAGATTCATTCCTTTTGATTCTCGGACATAAATGACTTAGATAGGTACGGGTGCTAGGTTATTTGTATTCCTGCCCGTGCCTCTTCCTCTGTCATTTGCTCATATCTGTTGCAACTCGTGCCTCTTGGCTAGTTGTAATTCTTTGACCATTTGACCAGTCTACGTGTTTCAACACGTATTCGACACGTCACCTTTATATTTAAATACAATTTTTCCCAATACAGATAGTCCCCCCACTTTCCATTTATTCATCAGTTGAATATTTGAGAAGTTGATTTCATTAAAAGAGAATTTTTGTCACCATTAATGCTATGACAAAATTGACGCTTCAATTGTCGCTTCCATTTAATGCTCCGTACACGTGTCTTTTTTCATTAGTTCTACAGTTTTGCAGCCCTTTTTCAAGGCTTTTTACGGCTCCACTATCACGAAGTACCAGTTATCATTATTATGGTCATTCCATCACTGCACTCTTACCTTTGGCGGTGGCGTATTAATATAAATATAACTTCTCTCCTTGTCTTTTACCACATAAAGCTTATTGAACACTTAATTCCTCACATTCTTCTTCTTCGCCATGTCTTCACCAAATCCTAACCCTATGAGAGTTCTCATTGTTGATACCTTCCCTAACGCCCCCATTATACATAGAAGGGGAGGTAGACTTTATAGATTAGGGTCAACTCGCGATGGTGGTTCGTCTATACCTTCTCCTAGTTCTGGTCCTTCTTCCAGAACTAGAGGTTCCCTTTCTCACAGATCTTCTTCTAGGGATAAAGAACCTTCTGAACCATTACGTGAACCTTTAGTAGAGGAAATAGTCCCTACAGAATTATTTTTTTACCATGATAGGGAATCTCTTAGAAACTAGGTTTCCGTCTTAGATCGTGCTGACGCTTACCCCACTCAAATTACAGAAGTTTTAACTCCTGTAGTTCGCAAAGACTGCCATTGGAGTAATGATTTTCCCATTATAATCCCTAATCCAAATCAGAGAATTACTTTTTACTTGACTGGGTTCTCTTTTGTTTATACATACCCTTTCACTTTAGGGTTCAAATCAGCTATTGACCCAGTTATTTTTGAATTTTGCCGTTTCTTTAATGTCTGTTTGGGTCAAATTGGCCCAATCATATGGAGGGCTGTTTCCTGTAGGCATCTAACCAATTTGGCTGACATTTCCTTTACTTTCCCTCACCTAATTCATCTTTACTCCCCTAGACTTTTCTGTAGTGGCATTTTTACCCTAGTGGCCAGGAGTAAGAGGGTTTTAGTGAGCCTTGAAGATGACAAAGATCGTGGCTGGTACGCCCGATTTGTTGCTGCCCCCACTGTTGGTTTAGTGGGTGAGAATAACATTCCCTTCCCTGAGAAGTGGAATTTTGCACGTAAGTCTTTTATCCATCTCGTACCTTTTTCCTTCAAGTTTATCAACTTCTCTAATTTTTGCTCCTCCTTTTTTTAGCAACCATGGGAGTGGTGGAAAATATTCCCAATTTTTGTGGTTGGGTAGATAAATTGCTGAAGGCCGCACCAATAGATGGTAGGTCTTGGAAAACACTTTCTAACCGTTACGGTTGGAAAGTAAAAACTCATGGTAATAGTTTTTATTTCATCTTTCGCGCTTGTATTTATTTTTCTTTATGATTCTAACTTCCATCCTTCTTTTTATCAGGATTTGCTATTCGAGGAGTTACTGCTGAAGCAGTTGCGGCCTCTCGTGTCTCTTCGGGAACCCGTACTCCTTCGGGAACCCGTATCTCTTTAGAAAGAGCCCGAGAAATAGTCTTGGGTTCTTCTTCTGCAAAAGGAAAACCGTTGAAGAAGGATACTCTGAAGAAGAGGAAGATGGGGGTTCCCTGGTGACGAGGCCACGAGCTAGGAGACGCATCGTCTCTGATGACGAAGTTGAAGTTTCCCTTCATCTTTCTGTTCCTCTTGCCGAACCTGTTGAAACCCCAGTAATAACTCATGACGATGACGTCACTCCCCATGATACCCATGAATCTATTGATCAAATTTTCTTAGAGGTTTTGGTAGTGGAAGTTTAGGGCCTGTTTTAGATGAAATACCCTTATCTTCTTTCTCAACTTCCTTGCCTGTGATTCCTTCCTTACCAGCCCCAACTAAATCTGTTCCTTCTTCTACTGTTTTCACTTCCTCTACCGCTCCTCCTTAAACAACTCCCCCTCTTATCATTCACCATACGGAAGTGGGCTCTTCAAGTAGAAGTGCCGCTATGAGAAGGGTAACCATTGAAGTTCCTGCTGATAGCAACCTTTTGAGGAAGTCAGGTCAAGCAGACGTATGGCTGGAACCTTTAATCGGTCCAATTGAAAAAGCAAAGCTGGAGAGCCATAGTTCCCTGACTCTAATGAATGATATCGTGCATGTCACTTTGAAGGTACTTTCCTTCTCTCCCTTCTTTACCTTATAATTTTTTTTTTATCTTTGGGATTCTTATATTCTTATTTCCTTTCCTTTTTTAGGCCAATCTTATCGGCACAGAAATGATGAGCAGAATTCCTCTCTTGGAGAAAGTAGCACGTGATTCTCAATTGGAGGCGATCAATTGGAAGGAACAATTTGAGAGTGCACAAATTGATATGGAAGATTTACAAGAAGGCAAGAGTACCCTAGAACAACAGGTGCGGGCTTTAACTTCAAAGTTAGCGGTTGCAAAGGCTTCCTCAAGCCAAGCAGAAAAAAAACAAAGAACGTCTCGAATATTCCTTCTCAGAGCAACTATCTAGAGCCAGCAAAGAGAACAGAGAGTTGAAGGCTCTTTTGAGTCAAAAAGAAGTTTACGCTGGGGAGCTCGTGCAAAGCTTAACTCAACACAAGAAGGCCTTCGAGTCTCGATTGACAGGGTTCGTGCTTTAGAGAGCTCTCATGCCTCTCTTCAAGCTTCTTACAATTCCGCCTTGGCTGAAAATGAAGAGCTAAAGAATGAGATTGCTGATTGGGAAAATAATTATGAGACCCTTGAAGAAAAATCTACTGTTGAGGTAAGTTGGGCATTTTTGAATTCACGTCGGGATACCCTAATTGAAGCTGGCCAAGAAAACTTCAGCCTGGAGTTGGAGTACTAAGATCAATGAAACCATTGAAAAAGTTCAGCAAACTCAAGACTTCCCTTCTCCCGTGGTTGAAGCTCCCATAAATGTTGAAGCTGATATGGTTATCCCGACTCTTTCAAGCCCAATCGAGCCTGTTGCTGCAAGTCAAGTTGAAACCGCATCTGTTGATGCGCCTGCCCAAATTGAGCCCACTGCTATTGATGCTCTTGCTTTAGTTCCACAAACTTCTCAGTGACTAGTTTTAATCATTTGAATAATTTTGTTTTTTGTTTTTATTTTGAAAAATTGTAATAAAACCCTTAGCTTCATCTGAGGGCTGGATTTGGAAACGTAAGTCCCCAAGTCTTTTATGGGGCAGTTTGTATAAACAATTTCATAGCGTTATGACTAAGTTCGTACTTAGTCTTCAGTTTTTAGGTATTAAGAAGTTTTTCATGTTATTATCTTAAACTTCTGTCAGCTTTATTCTTGCCTTTATTTTTAAGGACTTATAGAATAATTTGCATTTTGTTATTCGAAAAATGCTTCTGTTAATCTCATGATTGACTAATTAAACATGAGTTTTATAAAAGAGGGCCCTTTTATATTTCGACACTTAATGAAGAAGACGTCTCAACTTCATAATGGTGTTATCATACGATAAAAGAAATAGGAACACATGTGTTTCTTTGAAATAACTTTGACAAGTTTTGAAT